GAAAGATCCATGTCTAGCACCATGCACAAAACTAAAATCCAAATGGATCAAAGACCTCAACATAAATCCAGCCACACTGAGCCTGTTAGAAGAGAGAGTGGGAGGTACCCTTGAACAAATTGGTACAGGAGACCACTTCCTGAACATAACACCAGTAGCACAAACACTGAGATCGACAATAAATGGGACCTCCTGAAACTGAGAAGCTTCTGTAAGGCAAAGGACATAGTCAGCAAGACAAAAATACACCCCACAGATTGGGAAAAGATATTCACTAACGCGACATCTGGCAGAGGGCTGAGCTCCAAAATTTACAAAGAACTCAAGAAGCAAGTCTCCAAAACACCAAAGGATCCTATTCAAAAGTGGGGGACTGAACTACATAGAGAATTCTCAATAGAGGAGTATAAAATGGCTGAGAGACACTTAAGAACGTGCTCAACATCCTTAGCCATTAGGGAAATGCAAATCAAAACACCTTTGAGATATCATCAGAATGGCTAAAATAAAAAACACCCATGACAGCTTATGCTGGAGATGATGTGGAGAACAGGGCACACTTGTCCATTGCTGGTGGTAGTGCCAAATTGGACAGCCACTTTGGAAACCAGTATGGAGATTCCTCAGGAAAATGGGAATCAGTATACCACAAGACACAGCAATTCTACTCTTAGGCATATACCCAAAAGATGCCCATTCATACAACAAGGATGTCTGTTCCACTATGTTCATAGCAGCATTATATGTAATAGCTAGATCCTGGAAGCAACCTAGATGCCCCACAACTGAAGAGTGGATAGAGAAAAAGTGGTATATTTACAAAATGGAGTACTACTCAGCAGAAAAAAACAATGGAATCTTGAAATTTGCAGACAAATGGATGGCACTAGAGGAAACCATCCTGAGTGAGGCAGTCCAGTCACAAAAAGACAAACGTAGTATGTACTCACTCATATATAGATTTTAGATATGGATCAGGGAAGTTTCAGCCTACAATCCCAGTGCCAGTGAGTCTGGGAAACAGGGAGGTTCCCAAGAGACACGCATGATACCCCAGAGAAGTGGAATAAGCCAAGATCTCCTGAGCAGATTGGAAATATCGGGGAAGGGGAGAGGGAACCAGGAAAAAGAGAGGGAGAGAAGAGGAGGGGAGAAGAAGGCATGAGGAAGCAGGAAGGTTGAGTCGAGGTAAGAATAGAGGAGAGCAAGATGAGAGATACCATAATAGATGGAGTCATTATAGGCTTGAGGAGAGAGCTGACACTAGTGAGATCTCCAGAGATCTACAAGGATAACACCAACTGGAAAACTAAGTAATAGTGGAGAGACTACATTAATAGCCCCTACTTGATGATAAGGTTGATGACTACCTTATATGCCATCCTAGAACCTTCATCCAGTGACTGATGGAAGCAGAGACAGATACCCAGAGCTAAACACTGAACTGAACTCCTGGAACCCAGTGACAGAGATGGAGGTGTGATGAGCAAAGGGGTCAAGACCATGCTGGTGAAACCCACAAAGACAGCTGACTGGACAAGGGGGAGCTCTTGAATCCCAGACTGATGGCTGAGAGGCCAGCAGGGGACTGATCCAGACTCCATGAATGTAGTGACAGTGAGGAGGCCTCAGAAACCTCTGGGGCCTTGGGTAGTAGATCAGTGTTTACCATGGCGAATGAATGTACTTTGGGAGCCCATTCCAAATAAGAGGGATGCTCTCTCAGCCTGGACACATGGGGAAGGGCCTAGCTCCTGCCCTGGATGATATGACAGACTCTGGAGATCCCCTCCAAGGAGGGCTTCACCCTCCCTGGGGAATGATGTGGGGATTAGGTGGGGTGCTGGAGGGGTGCTGGTGGAGGGACAGGGAAGGAGGGGTGGGAGAGGGAGCTGGGATTGACACGTGAAACATTCATGTTTCTAATTGAAATAAAAACATATATTGAGAGCAGTCCCCAGCGTGTTTAGTGGATAGAAAAATAAAGAAAGATGTCTAAGCAACAACCAGCTCAGTTTATAAATCCAGAAACTCCTGGCTATGTTGGATTTGCAAATCTTCCCAATCAAGTTCACCGAAAATCAGTTAAAAGGGGGTTCAAGTTAACACTGATGGTGGTTGGTGAATCTGGTCTAGGAAAATCAACTCTCATAAACAGCTTATTCCTGACTGATCTCTACCCAGAAAGAATTATACCAGGAGCATCAGAGAAAATTGAAGGAACTGTCCAAATTGAGGCTTCAACTGTTGAGATTGAAGAGCGTGGTGTCAAGCTTCAGCTTACATTCGTGGACACATCCGGCTATGGGGATGCCATCAACTGCAGGGATTGTTTTAAGACAATTATCTCCTACATTGGTGAGCAGTTTGAATGCTACCTACATGACGAGAGTGGACTGAACAGGCAGCACATCATTGATAACAGGGTACATTGTTGCCTCTACTTCATCTCACCTTTGGACATGAATTGAAGCCCTTAGATGTTGCATTTATGAAAACAATACACAATAAGGTGAACATTGTGCCTGTCATTGCAAAAGCTGACACACTCACGCTGAAGGAGCGTGAGCGTCTAAAGAAAAGGATTTCTGATGAAATTGAAGAACATAGCATCAAAATCTACCATTTACCTGCTATCCATTTACCTGCGCAGGTAAATGGATAGCACAGGAAGAAACCATCCTGAGTGAGGTAACCCAGTCACAAAAAGACAAACATGGTATGTACTCACTCATATATGGATTTTAGACATGGATCAGGAGAGTGCCAGGCTGCACTTGCACTGACAGAGAGTCTGGGAAACAGGAAAGAACCTAAAAGATATGCATGGTACCCAAGAGAAGAGAAATGAGGCAAGATCCTCTGAACAGATGGGGAACACGGCGAGGGATGGGGGGGAGGGGGACCTGGGAAATAGAGAGGGGCAGAAGTAGAAGAGACAGTAGGTCGTGGAGGAACAGGAAGGTTGACTGGGGGGGGGTAGGATAGGGGAAAGAGGGAATCATAGGTTAGAAGACATATCAGGCACCATTGTGACCTCTAGTGGTCTAAACGGATGACACCAATTCGCAAGCTAAGCAATAGTGTAGAGACCACCTCGAATGACCATTCCTGATAGTGAACTTGATGTCTATAACCATCCTGGAGCCTTCATCCAGTGACTGATGGAAGCAGAGGCAAACACCCACAGTTAAATACTGAACAGAACCCAAGGAACCCAGTGACAGAGAGAGAGAGGAGCGATGAGAGAATTGGCAAAGAATGGGCTGGCAAAACCAGCAGAGACAGCTGATTTGAACAGGGGAGAGCTCTTGGACCCCAGACCGACAACTGGGAGGCCAGCATGGGACCGATCCAGACCCTCTTAATGTGAGAGTCAATGAGGAGGCCTGGGCTACCTATGGGGTCTGAGCAGTGGATCAGTGTTTATCCCTTGAATACTAACAGACATTGTGTGTCCATAACACAAAGAGGGTTGCTCTCTCTGCCTGGACTCTTAGGGAAGTGCCTGGACCCTACCCTGAGTGAAATGATAGACTCTAGATATCCCCTATGTGGAAGGAATTGGCAATAGGGTGGGAGGATGAGAGGATGGTGGAGGAGTGGAGGAGGGGAGGGAGAGGGAACTGGGATTGACATATAAAACAAGCTATTTAAAATTAAAATTTTAAAAAATCTACCATTTACCGGATGCAGAATCAGATGAAGATGAAGATTTTAAGTAGCAGACTAGACTCCTCAAGGCCAGTATCCCATTCTCTGTGGTTGGCTCCAACCAGTTGACTGAAGCCAAAGGCAAGAAGGTCAGAGGTCGTCTCTACCCATGGGGTGTTGTGGAGGTAGAGAACCCAGAACACAATGACTTTCTGAAGCTGAGAACAATGCTCATCAACCACATGCAGGACCTACAGGAAGGGACCCAGGACCTTCACTATGAAAACTTCCGTTCTGAGAGGCTGAAGAGAGGCAGCAGGAAAGTGGAGAATGAGGACATGAATAAAGACCAGATCTTGCTTGAAAAGGAGGCTGAGCTTCACCGCATGCAGGAGATGATTGCAAGGATGCAAATGCAGATGCAGGGTGGTGACAGTGACAGCAGGCACCATGTGAGAGAAAATGCTGTTGGATAAAAAGAAAAGTATTCCTGATAAGTGCTGCAGCAGCATCACGTTTCTTAACACCCTTGGAAGTGTTAAGAATTTAAGTCTCTGTGTCTGAGGATTTCAGTTGGTTTTTTGGGTTTTTACTTTTGATGGCTTTGATTTTTGGTTCTTTTCTCATTTTTACCCCTCTGGTATGACGTACTTTTAGCATTTATATTTCATTGCTATGTTACACTTTATATTGTGTGAGGTACACCCTGGTTTTCTTCTTACTTAACCACTAATGTTAGGATTAATTTCTAAGAATCAGTCAGTCTATACACTGGTAATAGTGAATGCCTTTGATTGAGCTGGCCTGACTAATGATTGACAAGTACTCTTGATTTGTATCTAGACATTTTTATTTGCTCAGAAGTTCCTGTGTGGTGGACTTGATGTGCCTATGACAGAGGTAGCTGTGCATACTTGGTGGCAGAATATTTGCTTATTAGAATGAAGTCACACTGTTAACTTTATATTTGTGCAGAACACCTAAAACTACTTTTGCTGCTGTAGTGAATACGGTTAATTCATCTGCACATTTATCTGTTAACCAGGCAGAACAGAGGAGGGTTATCTAATAAGATAATATTTATACTTCAATAGCTTTTAAAAAGCAGGATTTCAGCATTGAATTTTAAGAGCTCTGGATTCTTGTGCCAGATCCTTTTCAAACCTCTGTAGAGAACTTACTACAAGGACTTTTTATACTGTGGATGCTGATTATGCTACGCTGTGGAGAAAACCAAAGCAGCTATGAACTCCAGCTTCATGTTGTAACAAGACTCTACACAGTGTCAGTGAACTTTTTATTCAACTAAGAAGGCAATACTTTTTAAAGAAACCAAGATGTTTATATTTTATACTGCACTTTAATGTACTTAGTATAACCAGGTGCAAGAAGACCTGCCATGGCAGAGGAAATCATAGTCCTTGGCTGGCATAGATCTGAACCCAGGCTTGTGATTGGGTGGTGCTCTTGCACAAAAAGCCTTTTGAAGCGCAAATGCCTGCCAGGTTTTCCTCTGACTCTTCCCTTTTTCAGTGATTTTCAAATGAGGAAAATAACCGTTTTTCATTTGCAGACTGTCTCACGTGTTTTCAGCCAGTGTAGTGTAAAACGTCTTCATGGCAGGAATGAAAGGCTCTTCAGATCTGTGCCACAGCAGATGAGCAAAGCCGTGCCTGGCATACAGTCTGGCACTCTGGCCTGACTTCTCTTTCCGTGTCTTCTAATGTCAGCTGATGGCCACAGACAAAGGGGCGAGGGAAGGAGACCGGTGCGGAGGAAGCAGGTGCTAGTTCTGGGATTTCATTTGCTGCGGAAGAAAGTGCTTGGTTGATGATGAGGCAGAGGTTTGTTTAATTCAGGCCAAAAATCAATAGTACTAGTTAAACGAGACTTAAAAGTTGTCAGTTACAAGTTACAGAAAATAATGTGCTCATTTTGCCCCTTCACTATTGCATCACTGTGAATGGCCAGCGGTTCATTGTGTGAGGTTCCCGCCAAGAAAAGTGTTGCTGACTCTAGAGTACACCCATGCAATTCTTTGTTTGGGTTATTTTGACATTAATTTGATTGGAAAAAATTTTAAGAAACAAAAGCATTCCCAAGCATTCAGTGGGAGCCCTGTGTTTGTGAGTTAAGGTTGCCATTTAGGGCCAGCTGGCATCTAAGGATGGCAATGTGTGCTGGAAGACCTTGCAGCCACAATTCTAAATCCCCCTTCAGTTTTTCCACCCAGGTCTAAACATACACTTTTGCTAATAAATGCTCTCTCACTCAGAAGTAACTTGTACCTGTAGAAATGTATTTTGAAAACACATTTTACACATCAACTTTGTAGCCACTTAAACTAACCCTTTTTCAATAAAGCACTATTGTTTAGATATTTTAAAAAACATATATTGAGGGAAAAGATGAAGCTTAAAATAGGTACATAACAGTTAATAAATTTCTAACTATAAAAATATTTTTAAAGTATTTAAAGTGCTTAGCAATTAGGAAAGTGTAAATTGAAACTACTTTGAAATTTTACCTTACTTAAGTCAGAATAGCTAAGATTAATAAAACAATTGATGGGGCTGGAGAAACGGCTTAGCAGTTAAGAACACCATCTGCTCTTCCAGAGGATCTGAGTTTGATTCCCATTACCCATGTGGTCGCACACAATCCTTTGTGACTCCAATTCTAGGAGACTGAACAACAACCTCAGACCTCTAGAGGCACCAGGTAGACATGTGACACGTGGATATGCATGCAGGCTAAATATCCATACACATAAAACAAACTGACAAATGGTATTTTTATTAGTAAGCATGCCTTTGTTTTCTGACTACAATTACAAAACATTACATTAGCAAGAAAAAAGTTTTCTTGAGCTGGTTTCAGAGGCAGTTACTTCTCCAAAATGTTAAGTAAAACAGTGTACAATATCAGTAGTAAAATGTTAAATTTCACACTGTGTACCACTTAGAGCTTCTGAACAAAATAAGGTAAAAATGGTTACCCTTTTTTCAGAATATTAAAGTCTAATTATTCAAATAGTTTTACTCTAAAACAAAACTCTAAAGGTGTCTATAGAATTGGTTCTTTAATTTTTTCTCTTTAAATAGGTAGTGTAACAAGGATTAGAAAAGACAAAACTGTTAAGTGTCTGACAAAGTAGAAAGGGTGAAAACATGAAAAAGCCTGAATTTTGACACATATTATACAAAGCCTCTGCTATCTTCATGGATAGTTTCTCAGCCACCTCCCTTCAAAACCTGGGACTGCTTCTTTGAAGCAGCTGCTGTGACTGAGTTACATTCTGATTGAGACTCACAGTCTCCATCTCTTTCTCAGGACACTGTTTCTGGGCAAACATCACTATCCTCGCATAAGCAATTTTTAAAAAGAAAACAAGTGACAACAAATTCTGGAAAGTATGTGGTAGAAGTGGAACCTCCATTCACTGTGTGGGGAATTACACACTGACTCCATCATTCTGAAAATCAGTGTGGTGAATTCACAGAAAGCTAAGCACAGCTCAATCATGAGTCCCAGCTATTCAACTCCTCACAAATGGCCAAATCACCCAACAGCCTACACCACAGATAATTGCTTGGTCATGTTCACTGCCACTCCATTCACAGAAGCTAGGAAATGGAGACTACTTAATTATCTTTCAACCGATAATGAATAATGGACTGTGGTCCATATTACAGAATTCTATTCAGCTATAAAGAAAAATGAAGTTATGAAACTTTCAGAAAAGTAGTGAAACTAAAAATTATGCTGCATGAGGTGTTTCAGACCCAGAAAGATAAAAGCCAAATCTTTTTATTTTTGATTCTTATCTTGGAATCTTTACATGTGAGTATATAACACAAAATAACTACAGGCACGAGGGAAGTAAAAGGGGTTATGAGGGATGGATGTGAAGGAGGAGCACTGGGTGAGGAGGGTAGTCACAAACAGGTGCTGCGATAGAGGAAATGTGAAAAACTGGGGTGTGGGTAATATGTGGCAGGAGAAGGGAGACTTATAGAGGTAGAAGGAAAAAGAAAGAATAAATGATTCTATGGATTTTTAAAAACCATAGGGAATCATTATTTTATGTTTACTTAAAATTACATATAAATGTTTTAAATGAAGCTGTGCCATTTTGGTTATAATGTTCCCTCCAAGAGCCACAGACTACCTAACAAAAAACCCAGAACCAGGCATGAGAAACCTGCTTTGTGGTTGTTGGTCAGGGCCATGCAAGAGATCCCCAAAATAATACAAGCTATTGCTCTTCCCCTTGCTTTCCTTCCAGGATCTGAAGGTGAGTCGCTTCTGTGAAGAGATCATATATACTTTGCACATAAAACTTTGAGTAACCAAGCTGGGTCTGACCTGCCAGTCTCCTTCCTGAAGAACAGAACAGCTCTCACAGGACCAGAGGGTGCTATGCCAGCTACCAAGGGAGAGAAGCAGCCAATAGTCCTACCTAGCTGTGACTAGTATAGCAGATATCCCCAAAGGTGGAATCGTGGTACTTATATTTCAGAGATAACCATTATCTATCTAATTGACTTAAGGCCTGCTAAATGGGAGGGAATGCATGCCTGGTACTAGAACCCACTACTTCCACTTCCCTAAGTCAGTATAATTTCTAACTGTGTCTTAGTGAGAGCTTCTATTGCTTTGATAAAACACCATGAAGGTAACTTGAGAGGAAAGGGTTTATTACAACTCTCAGGTCACAGTTCATCATTGAGAGAAACTGGGGCAGGAACTCAAGGCACAAACTGACACAGAGGCCATGAAGAAACGCTACTTATTGCCTTGCTTCCTATGGCTGTCTCAGCCTGCTTTCTTACACAATCCAAGATCACCTGCCTATGACTAGCACACCATCAACCATACATCCATAAAATGCCACACAGGCTTGTCTACAGACTGATCTTATGGAGCATTTTTTAGATTGAAGTTTCTTCCTCTCTGATGACACTAGCTTGGGAGCCAAACTTGACAAAAACTAGCCAACCACTAACCACCTTCTGAATACATACCCTTATACCAAGTGATAAGTATGGCTCTCACTGCTCATCAAAGAGGCTACTTTGAAGCTGTTAGAGACCATCACAGAAACCCACAACTGATCAACATGCAGAGAACAACTGCCCAGCCCCATTTGATACATGCACAATACCTAAGACTCAGGAATGTCACCAAAGAGGAAGTGGAGCAACTGTAAAATCAGAGGAACAGGATGTGTGCACCCATAATCCTAATATTGTTGCCTAAATAAGACTTGAACAATGTCAACACCAGTTGGCATGCCAATATGGATGAGTGAAACCTCACAAAGCCTCCTCCTAGTTAAAGAGCCATAGGCAATTAATGGCTGCTGAGAAAGGGAGAATCAGCCTTCCCCAGAAATGAGCCCCTAATTGGTTACCCAATACCAAGTGGGAATCCTTTAAAACACATACATGTGAGCAACACTGAGTAGACCTGACAGGTTGTATATGCATGTGTGTGTGTGTGTGTGTGTGTGTGTGTGTGTGTGTGTGTTAATAGCAGGTAAAGAAAAAAAGCCATGAACATGATATGGAGACAGGGGAGAGGTAGAGAACATAGAGGAGTTGGAAAGAAAAGGGGGAAGGGAATAGGTGTATATATTACTCATATATAAAATTTTTCAAAAAATAAACTTTAAAATGGTTTCTCATGCCTGTAAACAACTTATATTGAAATGTGGATGTTGACAATGACATTTGCTTCTTTTATGTAAAATCCTAATACCTAAAGCTAATGGGTGATGGTTACAGTGTGTTTTCAATAGTCTATAGTATTTCTTTCCAGGGTATTTTGTGTTTCAGAATTTACCTGGTTTACATGTTTCTGTCTTCTTCACTCCTGCTTCATTGCTTTTAAGTGGGTCTTGCATTTCAATCATATTCTGAATGTATATTAAAATAAGATATTCTATAAATATCATATTAGTTACATATACTTGGTAATAAAAATACAATTATTCCCTTCCAGTGTGGACATTTCTTGGTCCTCACTAAAAAAGCAAAAGGTAGTATGGCAACTCAAACCACACACTCAAGAAGAATTAGGATATAGCAGAGTTCTCACATCTGACTTTCAAAAGAACCACTTATGTTCTTGGACTTAATTTTACTAGTATGAACAGCAATATTACAGAAATCCATGTACATAAATTTACATATAGATTTAATAAACTGTTGTCCAGATTTCAAAAAATATTGGGTAAAATAGTGGGTAAAGAACCTGCTGTATAAGTGTGAGGGTCAGAGTTTGAATCCCCACAACCCATAGAAATGCATAGAAAAGCTTGTGTGTCTGCCATCCCAACACTCCCACAGGGAGATGGGAAGTACATGCAGTGGAATCCCTGGAGGCTGGTAGGCTACCTGTCCTGCGTGTACAGCAGCAAGAAATAAAGGACCATCCTGGACAAGGAGGGCAGGGACTCTCACATGTGAGGTTGTGAGGTTGCTATGAGAAAACGCCATGCCCAAGGCAACTTATAGAAGGAAGAGTTTATTTGGACTTTCTGTTCCAGATGAATAACTCTCATGGAAAGCATGGCAGTGAGCAGCAGACAGTGGCTGGAGAAAAAGCTGAGGGCTCACATCTTGAACTAAAATCATGAAGCAGAAAGAGCAAACTGGGACTGGCACGTGGCTTTTCAACATCAAAGCCCACCCCTAGTGACACAGTTCCTCCAGCAAGGCTGCATTTCCATAATCCATCCTCAAGAGCACCATCAACTGGAGACTAATTATTCAAATATCTGAGCCCATGAGAGACATTCTCATTCAAACCCCCCACACCTCCCCAGGACACTCATACCCTCCTGCACACACACACACACACACACACACACACGGGAAGGGAAGACAGTGGTTAAAGTATTGTGTTCTCACTGACTATAATGAAAGTAGCAAAATGTTTGTGAGAAAATGTTTGTCCATGAAGAAAAGTGTCATTTCCAATGAGAGAAGCAAATCATGGCCCCGAGTAAATAAACGTCAAAATTGGCAATAAAGTACAACAAAATATATCATTATGCAATAAATAATTATGTTCTTCAATTTGTCCATAGTTTCAAGATTACAGGAGTATGGAGATTGCTTAGTAAGTAAAGAACTTGTGTTCAGATTCACAGAACCAATGTAAATTCAGGTGTGGTGGTTGACTTATGTAACCCTAACACAAGAAAATGGTCAATCCCTGGAGCTCACCGACCACCCAGCCTATTTGAATTGGTGAGTTTTGATTTCAGTGTAAGACCCTGTCTCAAAACTTAAGATAGCTTTTATTTTTTATTATTAATTTTTAAATTTAAATTAGAAACAAGGTTGCTTCACATGTCAATTCCAGGTCCCTCTCTGTTTCCCTGCCCTCCTCCCATGCTCTCCGCCCAACCCTCCCCCCAATATCCCCTCATTTCCCCAGGGAGGGTGAGGCCCTCCATGTGGGTGTCCCTAGTCTGTCATTTCATCCAGGGCAGGGCCTAGACACTCCCCCAAGAGTTCAGGGTGAGAGTGCATCTCTCATTCTTGGATGGGAGTTCAAAGTCCTTTTGTATACCCGTTAAATACTGATCTACTACCCAAGGCTCAATAGATTACCTAGGCCTCCTCACTGACACCCCCATTCAGGGGGTCTTGATCAGTCCCATGCTGGATTCCCAGGCTGATGCCTGGGATTCAAGAGCTAACCCTTGTGAGGTCAGCTGTTTCTGGGGGTTAAACCAGCCCAGTCTTAATCCCTTTGGCCATCAGTCCTCCCTCTCTGTCACTGGCTTTCTTGAGTTCAGGACAGTGCTTAGCCATGGGAGTCTGCCTCTGCTTCGATAAGACACTGAATGAAGGTTCTGTTTCCTAGACTCTCTGGCCATGGGATTGTAGGCTGGCACTCCCCAGATCTATGTCTAAAATCCATATATGAGAGAGTACATCCCATGTTTCTCTTTTTGTGACTGCATTACCTCACTCAGGATGGTTTCTTCTAGTGCCATCCATTTGCCTGCAAATCTCAGAATTCCGTTGTTTTTTTCTGCTGAATAGTAAGTACTCCATTGTGTAAATGTACCACATTTTCTCTATCCACTCTTCGGTTGAGGGGCATCTAGGATGCATCCAAGTTCTGGTTATTACAAATAATGCTGCTATGAACATAGTGGAACAGATGTCCTTGTTGTATGAATGGGCATCTTTTGGATATATGCCTAAGAGTGGAGTTGCTGGGTCTTGTGGTAGGTTTATTCCCATTTTTCTGAGGAATCTCCATACTGATTTCCAAAGTGGCTGAACCAGTTGGCACTCCCACCAGCAGTGGAGGAGTGTCCCCCTTTTACCATATCCTCTCCAGCATAAATTGTTGTTGGTGTTTTTGATTTTAGCCATTCTGATAGGAGTGAGATGGTATCTCAGAGTTGTTTTGATTTACATTTCCGGGATGGCTAAGGATGTTGAGCACTTTCTCAAGCGCCTCTCAGCCATTTTAGACTCCTCTATTGAAAATTCTCTATTTAGTTCTGCAGCCCACTTTTTAATTGGATCCTTTGGTGTTCTTGTGTTCTTTGTAAATTTTGGGGGCCAGCCCTCTGTCAGATGTGGGGTTAGTGGATATTTTTCCCAATCTGTGGGCTGCCTTTTTGTCTTGCTGACTGTCCTTTGCCTTGCAGAAGCTTCTCAGTTTCAGGAGGTCCCATTTATTAATTGTTGATCTCACTGTCTGTGCTACTGGTGTTAAGTTCAGGAAGCTGTCTCCTGTACCAATTCGTTCAAGGGTACCACCCACTTTCTCTTCTAAGAGGTTCAGTGTGGCTGGATTTATGTTGAGGTCTTTGATCCATTTGGACTTAAGTTTTGTGCATGGCAATAAACATGGATCGATCTGCATTCTTCTACATGCCAGCCTCCAGTTATGCCAACACCATTTGTTGAAGATGCTTTCTTTTTAAAGATCAGATGTTCATACATGGGTGGGTTAATATCAGGGTTTTCAATTCGATTCCATTGGTCTACCTGTCTATTTTTGTGCCTATACCAAGCTGTGTTCAGGACTATAGCTCTATAATAGAGCTTGAAGTCAGGGATGGTGATGCCTCCAGACGTTGCCTTGTTGAACAGGGTTGTTTTGACTATCCTGGGTCTTTTGTTTTTCCACACAAAATTGATTATTGTTCTTTCAAGGTCTGTGAAGAATTGTGCTGGGATTTTAATGGGGATTGCATTGAATCTGTAGATTGCTTTTGGCAGGATTGCCATTTTTACTACATTGATCCTACCTATCCAAGAGCATGGGAGATTTTTCCATTTTCTGAGGGCTTCTTTAATTTCTTTCTTTAAAGATTCAAAGTTCTTGTGATACAGGTCTTTCACTTGTTTGTTTAGCTTTACCCCAAGGTATTTTATGTTGTTTGTGGCAATTGTAAAGGGTGATGTTTCTCTGATTTATTTCTCAGCCCTTTTATCATCTGTATATAATAGGGCTACTGATTTTCTTGAGTTGATCTTGTAGCCTGCCACTTTGCTGAAGGTGTCAATCAGCTGTAAGAGTTCCCTGGTAGAGTTCTTTGGGTCATTTATGTAAACTGTCATATCATCTGCAAATAGTGAAAGTTTGATCTCTTCCTTTCCAATTTGTATCACCTTAATCTCCTTTTGTTGTCATATGGCTCTGGCTAGAACTTCAAGTACAATGTTGAAAAGGTATGGAGAGAGCAGACAGCCTTGTCTTGTTCCTGATTTTAGAGGAATTGCTTTGAGTTTCTGTCCATTTAGTTTGATGTTGGCTGTTCGTTTGCTGTATATAGCTTTTATTTTGTTTAGGTATGTTCCTGTTATCCCAGATCTCTCCAAGACCTTTATCATGAAGGGGTGTTGGATTTTGTCAAAGGCTTTTTCAGCATCTAGTGAGATGATCATGTGATTTTTGTTTTTCAGCTTGTTTATATGATGGATTACATTGATGGATTTTCATATGTTGAACCATCCCTGCATCCCTGGGATGAAACCTACTTGATCATGGTGAATGATTGTTTTGATGTGTTCTTGGATCTGATTTGCCAGTATTTTATTGAGTATTTTTGCATCAATGTTCATGAGGGATATTGGTCTGAAGTTCTCTTTCTTAGTTGTGTCTTTGTGTGGCTTGGGGATCAAGGTTATTGAAGCCTCATAAAAAGAGTTTGTCAGAAACCCTTCTGCTTCTATTGCATGGAACACTTTCAGAAGAATTGGTATAAGTTGTTCTTTGAATTTCTGGTAGAATTCTGCACTGAGGCCATCTGGACCTGGGATTTTTTTGGTTGGGAGACTTTTGATGACTGCTTCTATTTCCATAGTGGTTATAGGTCTATTTAAATTGCTTATCTGTTCTTGATTAAATTTTGGCAAGTGATAGCTCTCTAGGAAATCATCCATTTCCTTTAAATTTTCGAATTTTGTGGAGTACAGGTTTTCAAAGTATGACCTGATGTTTCTCTGAATTTCCTCAGAGTCCGTTGTTATGTCCCCTTTTCATTTCTGATTTTGTTAATTTGCATATTCACCCTCTGCTGTTTGGTAAGTTTGGACAAAGGTTTGTCTATCTTGTTGATTTTCTCAAAGAACCAATTCTTCGTTGCATTGATTCTTTGTATTGTTTTCCTAGTTTCTACTTTATTGATTTCAGCCCTCAATTTGATTATTTCCTGGCATCTACTCCTCCTGGGTGAGTTTGATTCTTCGTGTTCTAGAGCTTTCAGCTGTTCTGTTAATTCTCTAGTATAACTATTCTCCAGTTTCTTCTTGTGGGCACTTAGTGTTATGAACTTCCCCCATACCACTGCTTTCAAAGTGTCCCCCATAGGTTTGGCTATGTTGTGTCTTCATTCTCATTGAAATCTAGGAAGTCTTTGATTTCTTTTTTTATTTCTTCTTTGACCCAGGAATGGTGCAGTTGTGCATTATTCAATTTCCATGAGTTTGTAGGTTTTCTGCAATTTGTGTTGTTGTTGAAAGATAGCTTTTAAATGCATGTACTCATATCCATATTATACATGGCACCTTTACAAATATCCAGATGAATACCCACAAACATACACACATCACACCCAAACTCACAAATAGAAAGTATAAATGAGTCACAACTCTGCATAAATAATTTGTGTTTATATATTATTCCTGAATTGATCAGTCCAGATAAATTTGTAAAATAATAGTTCATAAAGTATTCTTTTTTCATAGGCACTAGGACTATTGGTATCCCTATTGTTTTGATCCTGTGGTTTAGCTATTTTGAATTCATATTAATCTAATCATTTAAAGAGCTATGTGAACCAGAGCTAAGAAATAGTGTACAGTATTACTTTAATAATAGAATATGTTTGTCAAAATGGGGAACGATATTAGATGTTGATAATCCTGTTATACATCAAAACCAGTAGCTATTAAAACACACCATTGTGAAATTAACCAGATGTATTTTTTGAAAATTGTTCAACAATTTCAATATGACTATAATGTGATTTGATCAAATTTGTCAGCCACTACATCCACATCCCTACCACCATTTTTCCCTCCTAACATCATGTAGTTTTCAAAACTACTGTAGTCTATATTTTATAGTAGTTTATATTTCCAATATTGTATTGCTTTGCAAAATTATAATAAACTTTCAAGAAAATTTATTGCAAAAGTAATCTCCTGGAAAAGTTAGGTGTCTTTTCACATTCCCCATCAACTCCACCAAAAAAAATTAGAGCTGATAAACACATTTTAGTTTTGGTTTTGTTTTTTGTTTGTTTGTTTGGTTGGTTGGTTGGGGTTTTTTGGTTTTGGTTTTGGTTTTTCGAGACAGAGTTTCTCTGTGACTTTGGAGGCTGTCCTGGAACTCGATCTTATAGACCAGGATGGTCTCAAACTCACAGAGATCTGCCTGCCCCTGCCTCTGCCCCCGAGAGTGCTGGGATTAAAGGCATATGCCACCACCACCCGGCTGATAAATACTTTCAACAAAGTATCAGAACACACAATAATCAGAATCTTTCCTGTATACAAAAGACAAGAATACCAACAAAGAAATCAAGGAAACAATTCCATTCACAATAGCCTCAAAAAATTAAAATACCCTGCAATAAATCTGGTTAAGGAAGTGAAAAATATGCACAATGAAAACTTGAAGACACTGAAAAGGAGAAAATGCTCATGGACTTTCAGGATAGATACTGCAAAAATATTTTTAAAAAGTCTGTTCTAAAGAAATCTACAAATAAAATTGAAAACAACCTCTCATCAAAATCCTAATACAATTCTTTGTGGAAATTGAAAATTTTTAATTTCAAATTAAAACAAAATACAGAGGAAAACCCCAGCATAGAGAGAGGATGGGCACAAAGTCCCATGCAGAGCTAAGAAGCTGTTGGCAACTGATAATTTCTCAGAGAAGAGAGGAAGTTCAGGGTGGGTGACCTTGTTACAATGAAAGGTCACATCCAAGAGTATCTGGTCAGCATCAACTGTACTTGCTGAGGTTGGGTTTTTAGGGGAGGGGTTGGTTTTTTGTAGAGGACCTGAAGTTGGATGTTTAGTGAAGAGGAGATAGATCTGAGATGAGTTGGGGGAGGAGGTAAATATGACCAAAAACACATTTTTCAAGATTCTCAAAGAACTAATAAAAAACAAGGCAACAAAAACTTTCTAAATAGAATGTAATTGATACCTTCCACTTGCTTGTTTACTATATATTTATTTTTTTACCTTTAGCCCCAAATAAATGTTCAGCAAATGTCTATGAAAGACTCTCAGACATATCCTGATAAAATTGATATCAACAATGAATGGCACAAGTTTTTCATTAGATATCTCAATTTAGTATTTTGGATGTAATTAAACTTAAAAGGGAGAATGTGGAAAATATGTAATCATATTAAATTTAAAAATTACATAAGAATATATACATACATATATATTCTCTAGATTCAGACTATTTTTGATCTTCATGTGAGAACTGACTGAATACTAAACACTTAAGAGAAGAAGAAAACTATTCATAGATAATGCTCATGTACACATTTCAACAAAGGAATTAGCTTTACAATGTGCAGTCCTGTATTTCACAACAAAACCAAAATGGGCTTTTTAAGTAAACATTTAAATCAAATTAGCACTCATATCATTTTTGTTTTGTTTTGCTTTCAAAACAGAGTTTCTCTCTGTGGCCCTAGCTGTCCCCAGAACTCTCTCTGTAGACCAGACTAGCCTTGAACTCAGAGATCTGCCTGTCTCTTTCCCCCAAATTCTGGGACTAAAAGTGAGTACCACTATCTGGCAGTGCTTATATCTTAACATGCCATTAGAAGTCCAATATTTCTACTGTAAAGATGTCAACCCCAGCAATAAATGTAATTTTTAAGATCAAAACGACACATGAGAGCAGACTTGGGAGGAGTTGGGGGAGTGGAACAAATATGATTAAAATCCATTGAATGATAGTCTCTAAGAACTATTAAATGAAGGGAAAAGAGAAAACATTATTAACATTTCCAACTTAGGGAAATTAAGTTCAGCAAGGAGTACTTTCTCCCAGGAACAACATGACAAACCTTGTTGGCTGTAGGTGAGGACGTTCCAGCACCAGCTTCGTTGGTAGGCCTTCAGAACAAAAAGTACACAAAGCATATGAGTGCTATTCTTTAAAATGTAGTAAAAGATCAGCTCTTTGCTAGGTGAATTATATTTCTTTATTTCACTATTCTAATTTGACCTGAGTGTTTAAGACATCTTTAGTTAATCACTTCTGCCTTCACCTATCCTAATCTAAGAACCGCTCAATGGTGTATTACTCACAAGTTCACATCATGCCAATATTTAGGCAGCCCCTGGAAATATCTTGCATTTAAATATTGCCTACCGTGGAGGCTACAAACCTTATAGCATAAAACATGTTACAATGATGAGCTATTCTCTCTCCATCATCCACTCTTGGATTAAATACAAAGCTTTTTAATTCAAGTGTGGTACTTTTGTTTCTTCCTCATGGAATATACCTATTAAAAAGAACCCATTGCAAGGCTGGGAGACAGCTCAGTTGTTAAGAACACTTGTTGTTCTTTTGAAGGACCCTGATTTTGTTCTCAGCACCTGAAATTCCAGCTCTATAGCTCTGTCATCAGCCCAAGGTGCCATCCACCAGCACCTGCATGAATGTGTACATACTCACAGAAAGACAGACAGACAGACACAAAGAAAAACGTGGAATTTTTTAAATTATTTTTTCTCTTTGCCTGAAAATAGCAGAAGGAATCCCCTGAGGCATTTTAAAATGTTGAAAGACAAATATGCAAAGTCCAAGAATGTGTTTATAGTTGTTTCTGGAAATGCTTTTCACAGAGAGGTTAGAGCATTAAAAAGTATAGTATTGGAACATAGGAGATACAAAGGAGAAGTGGGAATAACTGGAGCAAACGGTTTAAGCAGGGCGTGGGGATGAGCAGAAGAAGGGATGGAAAGAGTGATAACTGACACTAAGTATGTTTGAAAAGCCATATAGAAACCTACTCTTTGATTAGCTTCTTAGATGTGTTATACATATAGTGAAGATTTTTTATTGGTTTTGGTATGTATGTGTGTCTATGTATACATAATTATGTATGTGTGTCTATGTACACACAAGTACAGGTGCCATCAGAGGCTGAAAGAGGTGCCAGATTCTCTAGAGCTGAACTTAAACGCAGTTGTGAGCCACCTAACATGGGTGCCAGGAATCAAATTCTGGTCCTCTAGAAAAGCAGTACATGCTCTTAACCACTGATTCCTCCAGTATATACTTATAACTGTGAGTGAGTGAGTGAGTGAGTGTGTGTGTGCATGTGTGTGTGTGTGTGATGAGAGAGAGAGAGAGAGAGAGAGAGAGAGAGAGAGAGATAATGAAACTCCCAGAGGCTATAGGATATGAAACTGAAAGCCCAGTGCCACACATCATGTGTGAGATCCTTCCCCTGGAGTTGTTAGTCAAGGAGATCCCAGAGACCACCCCCAGAAAAATAAAATACAGGCTATAGCCATTAATCTTGGTTGCCCACCAGAACATGATACATGATGTAAGACACCACATGCTGTGGTCCCAGGTCATAAGAAATCAAGCTGGTACTGACTAGGAAAGTTCCTTCTTACTGACTAACTGTCATAGTACTAGAATGTGCTATGCAGGCAGCTAGGTAAGAAAAGTCACTAAAAATTTTGCCTAGCTGTGGGCCACAATAATGAACAGTCAGACAAGATGTGGCTGAGGGAACAATACGGCACAATGCAGTGGATAAACTACTGCTTTCTGGTTGTAGTTAAGGCCCTCCTCATAGGAGAAAATGTGTGCATAAATCCATCAAGTGATCCATGGCTGGGAAGCTCATAGGCCATGAAGGAAAACCTGCCACTATTATTTTGCTGAGAACACACTGTATCTAAATATGTCTCTCTATACCCAAGCCTTAGTGCAGTTCTTAATTCCCCTCAGAAAAGCTTTCATCTTGCAGAGGATAATAGCTAATATGAGACACACTGGTGGTCAAAGTGCAGAGGGTGAGTGTCTGTGGAATGCTCAGACTTAAATGTGGTGTCTGTGTCACAGTCCCTACCCCAGAATCTCAAGGAATAAGGAACAAGAGGATACAGAAAGACTATGAGAGACAGAGGCTGGGGAGGACTACAGCAAACAGTGTCTGGTGGATGACAAGGCTGTTGAACTAATGAACTCACAGCAACATGGTACCAACTGAAGTTCAAGAGAGTCTTTGTCAGTAAATTGTAAACCATGACCATGAATGTATATAAGAAGTGCAGCAAGCCGGGCATTGGTGGCACACGCCTTTAATTCCAGCACTTGGGAGGCAGAGGCAGGCGGATCTCTGTGAGTTCTAGGCCAGCCTGATCTACAGAGAAAGTTCCAGGACAGCCTCCAAAACAATACAGAGAAACCCTGTCTCAGGAAAAAAGAAGAAGAAGAAGAGCAGCAATGAGTTAGAAAAGAAGTGCCACCGAGGGATGCCTGCCCTGGGTACTAGAAGAACTCATGATCCACTCTCTATAAAATGAAGTGAATAATGTAGCACTCCCAGCTTCTGTACAGACTTCCTCTAGTGTCTCAACTGTTTTTAACAACTTTTAAAGAAAGCTTTGTTAGTTCCTACTATTAAGCAAACAAAAGCAACATATTTTTCAGGATTCTCTTGAACCTCTGATGTTCATATGTCTTTATATGGAAATTTCAATATCCTGTTTTGTGTTATCTTTATCAGACCTATCATAAAACCCAGGATCCTGATCTCTGATCTAAATTCCTGTCACTTTGAACCAGACCCAGCGTTGTTCCTTTCCAAAGCTGCCTTACCCTGCCATTGGGATCTTTTGCTATCTCCATTCTTCTTCCAGTGGGATGACTAGACTCATTGAGCTATTCTATTATTAAAGAAAAAAGCCACTCACCCATGAATGATAAATAGTAGAACTGACCTTAGAATGAATTTAGTGTCATGTTTACTATCCTCAGAGAGGCTACCTTACTATCTGTAAGTCGAAGAGTTTTCATAAGCCATCACTTGTTCTGTGACATGAGCCTGTTTATTAGTCTCCAAAGATACCTTAAAATCCTGAAAAGCCTTTGTTTTTCTCTACAAGCATGAAAAAGTGGCATGAACCAAAGTAAAAATAGAAAAAATAAAAGTACAAAGGACTGCACAATCAGAAAGCATGCGTGTAGTTGTAGAAAAAAGAAGCTAGGCTCAGATAAAGGTTTGAAACAAAAACTAAACTGTGAAATTGGAGAGTGGATAAAGCTTGAACCTCCTCTAAATAGATGACACTGTATATGCAGTCATTCTACATGATCATTGAGACATTCCTCTCACAGGCTTTCTCCATCTTGGTGTGTACTACTTGCAACTTCATAGCCACAGCTCAGTGAGATCTGCCCTAAAACCTTTGATGTAGCAAGATACGTTTTTAATAGCACTTTTTAAGTATTAAGATACATTCTTAGATTATAACTGTGTTTCTTAGGAAAACTCTAAAGCAATTTAACATTAAACCATAATTGACTTTCTGAATTGACCATATGTGTCTATTTCTTGTCCCTGAGCTATACAGGGGTTTCTCAGTCTATGAAGAAAATCAAGATAATTAATTATAGAACCACATAGTCTGATATTTACAACATGGTCTGGGTTCTTGCTGATTGTGATTTGATGGTACAATTAATCAAACTCTAAATGATGATTGTTTAATTAGTAAAAGAAGTAAGTTACAATAGCACAGGCCCTTTTGAATAACTGTTGTGATAACTATTAATAAAAAACATTAAGCATAAATACAAAATCAAGGACTAAGTACAGAAACACAGAGTTTCCTTTCATTGCATTCTATAATCAGTTGATATTCTTTTCTAAGTTTGCAGATCCTACCTGATTGAAGAGTTGTTTTCAGAACTCTGACGTGCTGTCAAAGAAAAGACACAATTTACCTTGTATAGATAACATGAAATTGTCAAGTATTAAAAGTGTATTAGTTAAGCATGGAAATATTCTACAGTGAATACAAATTATATGACTATGGGCAAGTGATATAGTAAAGTTATTTCCCTTTGTCTTACTGTATATAAAAATGGAACATATCAAAATGTGATGCCTTGAAGTAAATTGCCTTGTTATAACAACCATAATTCCAGCTGACAACAACAGACTGGCAGGACATGACGTCATTCACAGAAGAATCAGCTTCTTTCCATAAACTGGCAGTGGCAAACAAACATTTTCTGGCTGCCCGTGGAGAAGAGATCCATGAGAGGAAGTGTAAGGCTCCATCTTGCTAATCCTCTTCTAAAAGATGCTAAAACTCACTCTGTTTTCACTATTTTTTTCATTCTTCCCTTTGGTGCAAACAAGATTGAATGTCACTGAGTATTTACCTCTCATAGAAGGAACTACCGGAGTGATTGAACCCTTAAGAATCTATTTGGGGCTTCAGAGATGCCTGAGTGGCTAAGAGCATAGGATGCTCCTCCAGAAGACCAAGGTTCGATTCCCAGCACCCACATGGAGGCTCACTACTGTTTGTAATGCCAGTGCCAGGGGATTGATGCCCTCGTCTTGTCTCTAAGGGCACTGCATGCACATGGTACACAGATATACATTCCAGAAAACCATCAATACACAACAGATACACATTTGGGCAAAACACCAATATGCATAAAATAAAAGTGAATAACTCTTTTAAATTTTAAGGGTCCAACTACTCCCAAATCATAGCCAATAGTAAAGAGGGAAGTTCACAAACAAGTGCTGAGCCAGTGAGGTAGGAGCAACTACCAAGGACAAAGGACATGGACAATCAAATATGAAGGTACAGATGCAACAACTAACTCAGGTTTTCAGAATGTGACCACAGTTGGCTCTCCCTAGTGGAACAAATTAAATATAATTTTTTCACTCCTTCTTAAAGTGTGAAAAACAACATAAGGTGTGGGAAACATTACCTGGGCTTTGGGGATCAGGAGATGAGCACTTGCTTAGTATTTGGAAGGCCCCAAGTTTAATATTTAATATTCAGCATCACAAACTAATAGTGGAAAACATTAAATAAACCATGTATAGACTTGTTTACACTCATCCATGAAAACAAAATGATCTTGTAGCTTTACCAATGGTACTCACACTCTAATATTATATAGCAAGGTTCATACAATAAAGTTTGTGGAGACATTTTTAAAATACACCCTTTAACTTATGTTCCCTCCAGTCCTATTCTAGAACTTTTAACATGAAGACATATTGGATTTTTTTCAAAGACCTTTTCTGTATCTTTTGAGATGATAGTGTAATTTTTGCCCATAAGACAATTTATATGATTTATTGTGTTTGTTGACTTATGTATGTTGAACTATCCCCACATCCTTTAGATGAATCTAATTTATATGTAGGATGATCTTTTTGACATATATCTGTATTTGTTTTGTAAGTGTTTTATTAAGGATTTTTCATCTATGTTCATCAGGGATATTGGACTATACTTTGTTTGTTGTGTCTTTGCCTGGTTTGGGTGCTAAATTAATACTGGCTTCATAGAAGGGGGTTGGAAATGCTCCTTTAGCTCTGCATTTTTAATAACTTAAGAAATATTGGTCATGATATTCTTTGAGAAGTCCGGTAGAATACTACTGTGAATCCATCTGGGGTTGAGCTTCTTTTTAGTTGGAAGGCTTTTTATTACTGTTTCCATATCTGTATTTGTTATAGGTCTGTATTAGTCACTTTTCTATTGCTGTGATAAAATAGCATGTCCAAGACAATGTATAAAAGTAAGGGTTTATTTGGGCTTATGATTCCAGAGGCTTATGATCACCATCCTGTCAGGGACGCATGGCAACATGGAGGTATGGAGGCTGAAGTCACAATTTGAGAGGTTATATTTTGAAACACAACAATGAAGCAGAGTGAAAATAGGGATAGTCTTCTAAGCTGTCAAAGCCCACCCCCAGGGACACACTTATTCCAACAAGCCACATCCTCTAAGCCTCCCCAAACAAAATATCAAACTGGTGACCAAGTGCTCAAATAGATGAGTATATGGGGGACATTCTCAGTCAAACCACCACAGGGTCTGTTGATCTCTTCTTGGTTTAAATTTAGTGAATTCATCCATTTCTTTTATATTTTCCAGTTTAATGGGATACATGTTGTAAAAGTATTCCATTATGTATTTTTAGTTTCTTTGGTGTCTGTTCTAATGTTTCTCTGTTCATTTCTGACTCTGTTAATTTGAGTCATCTCTTTCTTCTGATTAATTGAGCCACAGGTCTGCTGAACTCAATTATCAACTCAAAGAACAAGCTCTTAGATTTTGTCCACTCCGTGCTCCCATAGGATTGTATCATAATGAAAATTGCATTCAGTCCAACTTCAAAAGTCTTCATAGTCTAACACAATCTCAACACTGTTAAAAATCCAAAGTTCAAGCATTAGCTTCCCTGGAACTCAAGCAATCTCTTATCTGTAATCCCCTGTAAAATCAAAATCAAAATCAAAAAGAAAATCACGTACTTCCCACATACAATGGCACAGAATATACATTACCTTTCCAAAAGAGAGGAAATGGGACATAGTGAGAAAATATGGGACCAAAGCAAGACCAAAAACCAGCTGAGCAAACTCTAAATTCTGTGTCTCCATATCTGATGTTCAAAACCTCTTCAAGTCTCCAACTCCTTTCAGCTTTGTTGACTACAACACAGCTCTCTCTCTGGCTGGCTCCATACCCAGTCTGCAGCTTTCCTGGGCAGGTATCCCATGGCCTGGGACTCTGACATTTTCTTCTGGAATACAACTACCAAAAGATGTCTTACCTGAGTTGTTCTCTCTTAAGCTTTGTATTAGGTTATGCTCATACTTCAAAAGTACTGTCCGCCTGTCATATACAAAAATGTGGTACACACAAGCATTACTTTAATGTTGGTATAAAAGCCATGCCAAACACATTAAATTATTGAGAATGTTTCAGTCTGTATCAGATGTTTTGGTATAATCTTCAAAATTGTTAATTTGGATATATTTTATTAAGCTTTTAATTAGATAAGGAAATAACAAAGAAATGGTGATGAATCAAAGTCAGCACATGCACTAGGTCATCTTGACAAAACAGGAACTATCATGACCTCTGATATACTCCGAGCTTCATAACTAACAGCTATTTTTAGATATAGTTTCTCTAATGGTAAAACTCTTAGACTTCTAAAATCCAATAAAGACTTTAATGCTTTAATTCACCAAGTTACTATGAAGACTTAGCAATATAAAAATATTAAGAGGAAAATAGAAAAGCAATAGATTAATTTGTATCTTAACAGTGAATTGCTTTGAAAACCAAAATGAAACCTACACGTGCTTTTCTTCAAAAAAAAAAAACTAATGCTCCAACATTACAGCTTTCAGCAAATTTAAAATGCTAATACATTTACTAGCTGTTCCATTATGTATGGTTTGTAATTTAGAGACTAATAGCCATCAAATAGTTTAAAACTAAAATTCATATTAACATATAATCTCCTTAAATTAGCAAAATGTTTTTTCATTGTTATTGAACTAATAAATCATAACCAAAATTTTTAAACCAATAAATTTAAAAAAACTAAATATTTCTCCTTTAACAAAACCAATCTTAATCCACAGGCCATTGTCACAAGAATGCTTAACTGTCATGCTTGTCACTGTATTAGTTACTTTTCTGATGCTCTAAATAAAACACTATAACCAAGGCAACTGATAGAAGGAAAGGTTTATTTTAGCTTACGATTACAAAAGAATGAGTCCATCATGGTGGGAAGAGATGCAGAGACTCACAGCTAGAACTGTGAGAGAGAGTCTAAATGGGAGTTATCTATCAACCCCCCCCCAGAGCTCAGGGGATCCTGCAGGGGAGGAGATGGAAAGATTGTAAAATCCAGGGAAATGGAGGACACCACAAGAACAAGGCCTTCTGAATCAACTAAACAAGGTGCATTATGAACTCACAGAGACTGAAGCAGCAAGCACAGGGCCTACAGGAGTCTGCACTAGGTCCTGTGTGTATATATTATAGCTATTAGCTTAGTATTTTTATGGAATTCCTGTTTATGAGAATGAGTGCGTCTCTGACTTTTGTGCCTGCTCTTGGGACTCTTTCCCTCCAGTTGGATTGTTGTGTCCAAATTTGATATGATTGCTTTGTTTTATAATTTGTAATATTTTATAATATAAACATATAATAATTTTATTTTGTCATGCTTGGTTGTTATCTCTTAGAAGCCTATTCGTTTCTAATGAGATACAGAAATGGAGTGGTTCCAGAGGGGAGGTAAGGTGGGCAAGAACTGGAAGGAGTAGAGGGAGATAGAATAATCAGGAAATAGTATATTAGGAAAGAATCTATTTTCAATAAAAGAAAAAAATAGATGTACCAAAAAAAGTCCATCACGGCAGGGAAGAATAGAAGCAAATATCAGGCATGGGGCAGGAGCAGGAAGTTGAGAGCTCTTATCTTCAAATATTATTAGACACTGATTTTTTTTTGGAGTGATCACAACACGTTTGATGGAAGAATACCTAAAATCCTCTTAGATAATCAATCATGAAGGTCTAGGCACACATGTTGTGAATAGGTGATGAGGGCCAGTTTACTGTTAATGGGTAAGGGTAAAGCTAAGACTCCTAGCTGTTAAAGTAGAGCATTTTTGGAATAATATCTGTCTTCGTTAGGGTTTTATTGCTGTGAAGAGACACCATGACCATAGCAACTCTATTAAAGATAACATAATTGGGGTGGATCATTTACAGTTTCAGAAGTCCAGTTCATTATCATCATGATGGAGAACATGGCAGCATGCAGGCAGATGTGGTGGTGAACTGTGAGTCCTAGACCTTGCATGCAACAGGAAGTCAACTGACTGTCACACTGAGGGAAGCTTGAGCAAAAGAGACCTCAAAGCCCACCCCCACAATGACACACTTCCTCCAACAAGGCCACACCTCCTAACAGTGCCACTCCCTTTGGAAGTCATTTTCTTTCAAACCACCACAATATCCTAACTTAAAAAGAATATATGAAATGAAGACATTGTTCTAATGCTTATGTGAATAGTATCACAAAAACTCAGGGGTCTGAATCAATAAGAGCAATCCAAGGATAGTCGTTAATCATCACTGTACTTAGGATCCACTAGTAGCAAAACTGTAACAACAGAATCACCAAGGAAAAAAAGACATGACTAAAATTTCTTCTAGTTGAGTCCCTTGTACTTACAGAACTAGTTTTCTGGAATTTCAAGTAGCAGTGTGCAGAAGAAAGCTTTTAGGGATTTTCTGCTAAAACAGACATTATAAGACTGATGGGGGAAGTCCTGTGTATATGTCAATAAAGCACTGTTGGCCAATAGGGAAGCAAGATAGGTGGGACTAAGAGTCCAGGAGGACTCTGGGTAGGAGAAACACAGGAAGTCAAGATGTAGCTGCCATAGGGATAAAAGCCCAGAAACTTCTCTCTGGTAAGAGAAATACTTAGATTAACAATTATGGGGTAAAAACTTAAGTCAGAGCTAGCCAGTAAGAAACAAGCAAGGCCAACAGCTTCATAATTAATATAGCCACCTGTGTGTTTATTTGGGACTGATGCGGCTCTGGAACCAGGCTGGTGGGAAGGCTTCTCTTTACATAAGACTAAAGCAAACAATCAAAAAGTTTGACAGTGTATCTGATGCACAAGGGTTATGTTTGGAATGAAATGGAGCCTTCTGGAATCCCTAAATATTAGGATCTTCAAACTCCTGAGACTGAGGTTAAAGATGAAACTCAATGGTAGAATATTTGCCTTGCACAAAGGCCCTGTATTCAATCCCAAAATTATTAAAAATCAAACATGTATTGGGATTAAAATTTCATGCACCCATTTCTACTTCTAAATAATCTGTCATTTTCCTTGGATTCTAGGTGATGAAGTGGACAAACACTCTTCCATTTCATAACTACCTAAACCAACAATGAAATCTTACCTTGTGTAATTATTTGAAACAATTAATATTAATTAGAATTACTTACACCTCCCGATCACCTTCAATAGCATAACGTAAAGCAGTCCATCCAAAAGAATCTTTAAAATTTATGTCAACACCTTGTTGAAGAAGAAGGTTGACCATAACTGATGAATCACATCTTACGGCATACATTAGAGAATTTCTAAAATAAAATTGACTTCAGTTACAGACCTTAATAAAATTATTTGAATGATTATTGGATATACTTTGCCAAATAGCTTGCCCAACTGTGCAGAATTATTAATAGACATAAGTATTTGGGGAGATCCATTATTTAACTCTGTAAGTTATCTTCAAAGCTAAAAAGGCAAAACACACTGGTAGACTCCTTTCCCAATATTCTATCACTTAGTAGGATTCCCAATTTAATATTCTCTGATGAACAACTATGGTAATAAGGAACACTTATCTAAAGTACATCAAGATTTATGAGATTTCTCCATTTCTTCCATATCAGTGTAGTATATTGTAATTTATACTCACATCAAGTAAGGAAAATATTTGTGTGATTAATAAAGTAACAACATAAAATGATATTGATAAAGATAGTTATAGTACTTTTAATTAACTGATGGGCACTGAGGTAAAACATATGTTAATATTTTTTCAGACAGGGACTCAATATGTTTGTTTTGCTATATATATAGATCAGGCTGACCTCAACCTCAGAAATAAACCTGCCTCTGTCTCCTGAGTGCTAGAATTAAAGGTATGTGCTGTCACAGCCAGCTCCCACATGAATGATCTTACAACCACTATTCAAGGATATTATTACATTTTTATATATATTAGGGATGTGTTTCCCCTGGTTTAGCCACACAGAACTGGGAAGCAATGCCAGCCAAGATCTAAGGGGCCTTGCTGTCTTTCAGTCTGGCAGTAGAAGATGACATCATGCTTCTTTCTGGCACAAAGAATGCAAGAGTTATGCAATTGTGGGGATATAAACCAAGGTCTCATGAAGAAAAATAAACCCATGAGGCGAGGCAATGAGGAACAGGCTGAAATTCCCTGAATAGAGCTTCTAATTGAGTTGTATGCTGTGCTGTTGATGGAATTCTAACTTAAAACGGAGACCTCAGGGTTGTTTGAGATGTTAGATACACAGAAATCCTTAGGAGGAGATCTCCCACACTCTACCCATCATGGAGAAACTATATCATGGTTTCCCTGCCAAGACAGATGATACATCTGAGGACATGAGCCAAAATAAATCTTCCCTCCATTAATTTCCCTCTGTCCTTATGTCATGCCTATATGAAAAGTAACTAATAAACAATTATTTTCTATTTTATACTCAATATAGAATTTTCTAAAGAAAAGTATATTAAAACAAAATTAATACATTTTAGCTAATATAAGATCATATGTACTAATATTGGACTAAAATTAGAGAAATCAGTTGATGGAAGATGTCATTCTGTAAATATGTTTATCTTATTGGTTGATGAACAAAACACTGTTCAGCCAATCAGGCAGGAAACAGGTGGGACTACGAGACAAGGAGGATTCTAAAAAGTGGAGGCAGAGAGGAGTCTCCATGTGATCACTGGACGAAAGGATGCGAGTCAGGCATTCTCCGGTAAGAGAAGACGATGTAGATATACGTAGATCAGTAGTTATGGGTTAATAATTAAGACAGAGCTAGCCAATAAGAAGCCCAAGCTATTGGCCAACAGTCTCATAACTAACATAGCTTCCATGTGTTAACTTGGGGCTCAAGGGCTGCATAACCTGCCAGTCCAGAAAACTCATGCTAAAAATTAGTCAATATTAATAAGAGAGTATGAACTCTATTACATATTACTCACTTTGAATTATTGAAATTCTAAGCTGGGTATGATGGCTCATGCCTTTAATTCCAGCCCTCATGAGACAGAAGCAAGAAAATCTCTGCATTCAAGACCAGCCTGGTCTACACTGGACCCAGTGTTGGAGGGGGGAGGGAGAAATTCTACCTAACAAATAATGTATGTTTGGCTTACCATATATCCCTATAAGTTAATCTTATTGTTCCTATTAATGTAATTGTTTTTTGGTTTTTCGAGACAGGGTTTCTCTGTGGCTTTGAAGGCTGCCTAGAACTAGCTCTTGTAGACTAGGCTGGTCTCAACTAACAGAGATCCACCTGCCTCTGCCTCCAGAGTACTGGTATTAAAGGCATACGCCACCACCAACCAGCTAATGTAATATTTTTATGTGCATAGTTGTTTCCATTTTAGAATAACATTAAAGGGTTTTATAAGTCAAATGACTCTACCTTCCGTGAGAATCAACTGCATGTACACTTGCTTCCATTTTTACTAAAAATTGTGCCATATTCAGTCTGTTTTCCCTCAGAGCAAGCAATAGTGGTGTGAGGTTATCCTGTAAAACAACAAAATAAACTTACATTTTGCCAAGAGTTGATGGGCACAAACATATGAAACAGGCAGAGTTTTAAGATGTGGGCTAGAGCTATAGGGATAAAGGAGAGTACATTAAAAGCTACCCTTTCCTATTCATCCTACTATGATTTTATGTAAGCTACACATTCTCTTCAAAACGCTGCCCCTTGTATTCAGTTGTAACATAAACCCTAGTCCTCTGCAAACCTTACTTTAATAGTTTTGCTGCTATAAAACTTTGCTCCCCTTATTAAGTCTACCTTGGTATTTTAGAGTCATGTAATTGCTCCCATCTAAATCCCAATGTTCTTGAGAACAGGGGCTGTATCTTTATCTCAAACACCCAATCACAAATACAGTAGCAAAAGATTTTCACTGATTTATTGGATTAATGAACTAAATTTTCATGTCTAGAGCCAAAAAATATATTTCCATTGCAGAAGTGTTGTATTGCAATAGAAAGACTTTATGATCAGCTACTGCTCGAATCAGTAGGGGTTCCTGGGAGAGCAGGGCCTAAAATTGAAGAAGACTAAAGTTTCATGCAGCAGCCAACTTTATTCAGAGCATCAAACAATTTATAGTCAGAGGATTAAGAAGAGTCACATGAGTAAGGTGTTCAATCACAAGGACAAGCCACACATGGCCAAAACATGTGGTTCCACAGAGGCAAATGAATAACACCTGAAACAACCTCACTCCTATCGGCTACATCTAGGCAGAGCATGAAAACACATTCCCAGAATAATTCTGTGTTTTGAAGAAACTGAAGTCATAAGATTCTTGTCTTGTTTAATCGGAGTTTTCTCACAAGCACTCAGAATTCTTGCATGACTCTGTTCTTGGACTGTGTTCCAACAGTTGGGAAATATGAAAACACACTGCAGCATATGTAGCTTTAGTTTTGGCTTACTTCTTATTTGGCGATGCATTTTGAGCCAATCATTAACATTTGAAGAAGTGGGTTGAGGAAAGTGTAAAGATTTTTCTAATTTAGACACTACCTTCAGGTCAAGAGGACACCTTGCAAATATGAAAGCAAGTTTTCAGAAAGCAGCTGTACCTTCCACTCAGCCTTCTGCAAGGGGATATATTACTTATGGTTTATTAAAGCTTGCCTGAGGATTCAGAAAACAAAGTCAGTCACAAGCTGTAGAGGTCAGGCAGTGGTAATACAAACCTTTAATCCCAGGACTCAGAAGACAAAGGCAGAAGATTGAGCTCTCTGAGTTCAAGGTCACCCAGGGCTACATGAGATTACATCAGTCTAAAAGACTAACAGAGTTCACACCTTTAATCCCAGGACACATGAGAGGTTATTTAAGACAGGAACAGGGACTCAGAGCTAGCATTCATTCTCCAGCCACACTGAGAGGATACAGTTTGAGGCTTGGTGAGAGATCATGGAGACAGGATCAGCCCTTTCAGTCTGAGATAGAGGTAAGAGCTAGTGGCTGGCCGCTTTGAAGCTTGAACCCCAGTATCAGAATCTGGATCATTTATTATTTGTGTTACAATTCACTGATTAGAAATTTAACAACTGTGAAGAATTTGGAATGTCACAGTACAGAGCCAAATTATATTAGGCTATCTTTAGCCCTCTAAATATACATGAATTATCCTCCTCTATGTGTGAGTTAACATCTTTGATCATTAGGTAAAATCCAATTACAAACAGACACAGAGCCCACATCAGCCAAAAGACTGAGTGTCACCAGATCACATCTGACGCCATAGCAGAGATGTCTCCACTTTGCTTTAACCATTCACCTGCTCGCATCAATGAAATTGAAAACTGTCTTTATTTATTACTTCTTTGTTCTATTAATATAAATCTTTTATGAAACTGCCTCTACTTTGGAACATTCAGAGTAGGAACTTAAGGTAGCCTAAATTTTTGTTCTTATACCATAGTCATTTATGTTTGGTCTCCCACTCCATGTAGTCACTACAGAAATGGACATCTAGCATCTTCAAAAGGACTTTAAATACTTCTTAGTAAGTGGTCTGTGAGTTTTCTGATATTATAAGTTGAAGAATGTCTTAACTGTTAGAAAGTTCAGTACAAATGCTTTCTCACATTTACTAATAATACTGTGACCCTAATACTACTCTTTTGGGGGGTTCAGGTTCTTACCTGCAGCCTAGGGTAGACTGAACTGATGCTTCATGTTTACTATGACTCTAATTACTATTTACAGTTACTTGTCATAAGCCATAAATTAAAAGCCAATGACTTCTCAATGAAATCCTAATATTAATATAGATACCTGGAGACATAATTTATAATATGACAAATGCCACTAAATCACTCATACTGTGGAAGAGAAAAAGTGTTGCTTGCAATATGCCCATCTTGTCTGTCTAGATAGTATAATTAACCAACAAGACCTACAGCTATTCCAATGGGAATTCCATTGCTTTCAAGACATACTTTGCCATGCTGGAAATGAAACAGGACTCTGTGTATGCTCTGCAATCACTCCGCCAGGAAACTACATTCCCAAGCCAACAATACTTTTAAAGAATTGTTTTGAGATTTTTGAAATTTTTATTTACATGTATGTCTGTTGGTCCACATATGAGTATGTGCACTTACATGTGGGTGCCTGTGGAAGCCAGAAGAGGGTGTCATATCTCCCTTGTGCTCAAGAGTTACGTGTGTTGGTAAGCTGCCTGACTTGAAGGCTAGGAACTGAACTCTGCTCCTCTGGAAGACCAACAAATGTGCTTATCTGCTAAACCAGCTCTAGAGCCCTAGCCAAGAAAAATTTTAACATGTTAATTTAATATAATGTTGAAAACATAGAAATACATTACAATATACCATAAGCAAAGGGTTGTAGACTCAAATACTAACACAGACCAATAGCATGACACAGAAAAATACTGAAGTGGGTTCCTTGCAAACTGGAGCAGACTTGGGAGTTCTCTGCCCAGACACCAAATGAGATCATAAGAGACTGGATTTGATTCTCTAAGAGAAATGGCCCTCTCCACAATCTTCATAATGGTGCAGAAGACTCAAATGGAGCTCTGCTGAAATGCATAACACTTAGGGACCCTGCCTACTTCTCTTGCTGCTGCCTCTCTGCACCCAGCAGAGACTGCTGCCCTAAACTGCTGAGTCTTTCAAGTCGTCGTTGGCACCTGCTCATTTTTGGACCAAGTGAAATCCCATGCTGAGTAACATCCCTCCCCTGGCATGGCCCAGGACTGTTGCTCAGACCATTTTGTATTTTGTGGAGTGTTCAATATCATGTTTGATCTACCTGCTGTGACATTTGGAGGTACAAAGATGTTTGTCTCTCTTGTTCTTCTCCACTTGCTTGATTCACAGGCCTCATAAAGGGTGACTCACTCTCAACTACCTAATGACTCTCCTCTAAACTGTAGCTGAAGTTTTTTACTCTTTACTCTTTGGGGGCTGATCCAATCCCCCCAAATACACAGAGACTTATTCTTCTTTATAAATGCCCAGTCTAAACTTGGCTTTATTCTAGCAAGCTTTTCTAAATTAAGTTAACCCGTTTATCTTCTTCTATATTTTGCCTCTAAACATTTTACCTTTCTTTATTCTACATGTCTTTCTTCCCTTCCTACCAGTGGCTGGCTGTGTGGCTGAGTGGCTGGCCCCTGGCATCCTCCTCCCCTTCTTTCTGCACTCCTCGCTCCTCTCTTATTTATTCTCTCTTCCTGGCAGCCCTGCCTGTTTCTCTCTCCTGCCTCGCTATTGACCATTCAGCTCTTTATTAGATCAATCATGTGTTTCAGACAGGCAAAGTAACACAGCTTTACAGAGTTAAAGTAATGCAACACATCTTTTCATCATTAAACAAATATTCCACATCATAAGAGATGTAACACACCTTTAACTAACATTCCACAACACTAGGTAGCTTTTACATACTCTCAAACATAGTTTATCCTAGGGGAGAAACCAACCAAACAGACTGGTAAGTTGCTGTAACAGCATCTGGCCACAGTGTAAATCAGGCAATGGATTTCAGTGGCCTTAAAAAGGTACCTTTCATGTTAAAATCTTGCTGACTTAGAACCACATATGACATAGTGCTAAATGGTAGGAGACAGATGCCGTCAATAAAGCCTGATTCTACCTCTGAAACTCCCCTGCCTTTGCCAGTCTTGCACAGCATTTTACATTCTGTAACTCCATGAAAAACTGCCCATTTTTCTAGCCTCCTTGGTCCTGCTGTCTGTCTCTGCATCCAACCAGTCCCCTGGCTAGGTGCCAGGGTCCACTCATGGTACTGACATCTGATGAGAACTTGCCTCCCCAAATAGGTGTCTGCCTGGATCCTCCAAGGCTTCCCAGTGTACCAGGCTCAGCCTTTCCAAAATGATGGATTTCATTCAAATCAAAGCTCATCATTCACCCCTTCCATAGCCTCTCCCCTTTCCTACATCTTTCTCAGGCTCAGTTATCCTTATCCTTCGCTGCCCCCCACTCACTCAGCCATAACTCAGTACTTATGCAAGTGGCTTTAAAATAAGAGGGTTACAACTACTCTTGTCCTCTACAGCAAAACTCTTCAAGGAATCTCACTTTTCACTGTCTGCCCAGACTGTCTTTTGAGGCTGAGGGTCCACTACTCTTCTCTTTGTCTTCAAACTTTTCTCTGTGCACAAGTGAAAGTGATATCATGTCCTTACTTTAATAGTGTTTTGAGGACTGGAGAGATGGCTCAGTGGTTAAGAACATTGACTGACTGCTCTTCCAGAGGTCCTGAGTTCAATTCCCAACCACCACATGATGGCTCACAACCATCCGTAATGAGATCTGGTGCCCTCTTCTGGTCTGCAGGCATACATTCAGACAGAATACTGTACACACACTAAATAAGTAGCTTTTTAAAAAATAATGTTTTGATATAATTGCTCATTTACCCAGACCTCCTACCTTATTTAAGTCAAGTTCTTATGTTTAAAAAGATTCAAGTGTTTCCCCATCTTAAGATTTCACTGTCTGTGTAAAAGAATTTTTTTATTCAGTATAATTTGGGTGAAAGATATAATTCTAAAGGCTCTGTGGCGGTATGAGTTTGGCTGGGGGTGGGGCCCCTGGGAAGAACGCTGGGAACTGGCTTTCTGGGCTCCTAGAAGCAGAGGAGGAAGATGAGCTCTACCAGGCTTTCACAGAGGAATCTGGAGATGATGAGTATCAGGGAGACCAGTCTGATACAGAGGATGAGGTAGACTCTGACTTCGACATTGATGAAGGAGAGGAACCATCCAATGATGGAGAAGCAGAAGCACCGAGAAGGAAGCGCAGAGTTGTCACCAAAGCCTATAAGGAGCCTCTAAAGAGCTTGAGGCCTCGAAAAGTCAGCACCCCAGCAAGTAGCTCTCAGAAGGCCAAAGAGGAAAAGGCACTGCTGCCCCTGGAGCTACAGGATGACGGCTCTGACAGTCAGAAGTCTATGCATCAATCTACAGCTGAGCACACACGACAAACATTCCTTCAGTTCAGGAGTGGCAAGGACAGTCCAGGAGGTGAAAGGGTCCCCATTGCGAGCGACTGCTAATCCAGGAAGAGCTGCTCAGGGAGGCCAAGATCACAGAAGAACTCAATTTATATTCACTGGAGATCTATGAAAGGCTGGAGGCTGACAAAAAGCAGGTTCACAAGAAGCGCAAGTGCCCTGGGCCAGTAATCACCGACCATTCGGTGACAGTGCCACTTGTTGGGAAGCCTGATCCCAAGGAGGAGAATGTGGACGTGGAAGGACTCGATCCTACTCCTACAGCTTCTGCACTGACTGCACATGCTGGGTCTGGACCTGCTGTCCCTCCTGCTCACGCACCTTCATCACATTTAGTGATGATGCGACATTTGAAGAGTGGTTTCCCCAAGGGCGACCCCCAAAGGTCCCTGTTGGGGAGGTCTGCCCAGTGACTCATCGTCCAGCAGTGTACCGGGACCCTGTTACAGACATACCCTATGCCACTGCTCAAGCCTTCAAGATCATTCATGAGGCCTACAAGAAGTACATCACTGCGCATGGACTACCTACCACCCACTGCCTCAGCCTTAGGCCCTGGCCCTCTACCCCCTGAGCCACTGCCTGGCTCCGGGCCTCGAGCCTTGCATCAGGAAATTGTCATCAAATAGGATACTTGCTCCTTAGAAATGTCTTTCCTCTGCCAACCTGGTTCTCAGTTCCTCCTCTTCCCTTTGTTCTCCCTGATCTTTGCTGGGTTGTTTTGTTTCGTTTTTTGTTTTTTTTTTTCTTTCACGATTTCCTCTCCTAGTTCATTCTGGTTTTGCTGTGTTGTTTTCTTTTTTTAATCTAATAAAATGGTAAAATCCTTTTGTATGGTTAAAAAGAGAGAGAGAGAGAGATCATTCTAAATTAACAACAACAAAAACCCTCAGTTTTGGAGACACTCATATTTTAAACCCATAGTTAATGCCTGATTCAAATGTTTACTATTTATATGTATTAAATAGGCCAAATGGAGGAGACAGCCACTCCACTGGCATTGACTCCTTTACTGCAGTAGGGGAGCTTATCCAGCTTAAATTAAAGCACAGTCTCTCTCATCTGTCATCCTTGCTCCTTTCAGAAATTATATTCTTAATTATTTTAATGCTAGATACAGAATTTCTGTTACATCAGATACACAGGACAAAACTAACTAATGAAACCTGGATAAAAATATGGCTAATAGATAGTAGGACCCAGAAGAGTCTTCCTTAGTAATCTTTGATAATTATTTCTTTCCCCTGAAGATCTGCCTTCCTGGTGTTGCAGCCTCATCAGATTCTAGGTGAAGCTCCTGGCTAAGATGGGACCTGAGCTGCCATGGATAAAATCCCAGGCTTCCAAGAGCAACTCCATCTGCTGGAACTTCCTAGTACATCTCTAATCGTGGAGAGTTAGAATGTTAGAGGTCAAAAGGCAAAACTATATTGGGCTATTTTACCCTTTTAAAAATCCAATCTATATTTACCTCCTCCCACATAGGAAAACCCCCTATTTCCCATTCTCTCTATTGGGTCACTTTTATCCTGCTATTCCCTTTACCCTCCTCACACCTTCTTCTATATATCCACAAATAAGTGTAGTCTTCCTATTGCACCAAAGAAACTTGTCTTTACAACAGACAGAGTGCTACAGAAAACCCACAACTAATCAAAATGCAGAGTTGTGTAACCCAGTTCCAATGGATACATCTACAAAATACTCCCACACCTGAGGCTCAGGGAACAGGGCAAAGGGATTTTAAGAGCTAGAGGACCAGGGAGTTTTCTGTGAGATTGTCTCACACCAGAAGCTGTGCCCATAAAGTTCCACCAACATGACTGCCCAAAGAGTGAGCTGAACAAGGGTAACAAACAATGAACATGCCAAACTGGATGGGGAAGCACAAGAGGTCTCAACCCTCCACAAAGAACTGCAGGCAACTGCATACAGCTGGGGCTGAGAGAGGCGGTCCTCCCCAGGGAGAGCACACCCATTGGTTGTTCGGTGCCAAACGGTCAGCCCTAAAAGCATACATACACATGGACTCAACAGGTTATATTTATGAATATATGTATATACATTTATATACAATTAATGAAAAATGGGTCATAAATTTGAATTAGAACGGGAGGGGTTTATGGGAGACTTTTGGAGGAAGGAAAAGAAACATAACTAAATTACAATCTCAAAAATAAACATTTAACAACAGAAATAGCCAAATCTATTACCTCCCTCTGCAAATGACACCACATTATTGTGATGAATATTCAAAAGCTATTTTGATTGTATTTAAGTATAGCAACCCTACTAGGACCAATCTTTATTCTCTGTCTTCCTCACATATAAATCTTATGATCTCAACAATCCCCTTCTCTCATCAATTCCAACTTAAAATGAATTGAAAGCTCTACTTGGACTTCCTTTACTATCTGTCTTGAGTCTGCATCTACAGATTGATGTCTGAATCTGTATGCTGGTCCAGGTCATCCACTGTACTGTTCTGCACATTACTTGGACTCAACAGCATCGTCCGAGGAGTGAGTGAAGATGCCAGTCTTTGTTCCAGAGGCCAACACCTGACTGACCACCCATGAGAGAAGATGAGGCTCCTCCCTGAAACATCATCCCTGTCCAACTCACTTAGATGGAGGTGACAGCCACTATCACTTGAGCCTCCTCCTTCATCTCCTTTTTCTGTCAAATCATTTTTCTGTGTGTTTTTAAAAAATAAACAACAGGCTGGGCTGTAAGAATGTACTGCTAGAGTCTACCTGCTGTCCTTTGCAGCAGCTCTCCTCTGCCACAGGTTTCCTCCACTGTCTTTGAGTCCCTAGTTAAGAGACTTGGGGTCCCCGGATCTTCACCTAGGAAGTGAGTTTATATCAAAGGCGACATTGCTGACCACAATTCATGCTCCCCACCCTCCTCCCTGACTGCTGCCTTGGAATCAGAGAGCCGGGTGGCAGGCTTACACTGAGAAAACTCTCCCATCCTCAATAAAACCTAAGAGACCACATCTTCCATTAGAGGGATTCCTCTTTTCAGAGATCCCCCCATGCATGTGCCCATGGTGCTAAGGTCTGAACTCTCATTCAAGACCCCACCATGCTCTTGCCTCTCTATCTGTCTAGGATGTTACTGACTCTAATAAACTCCTTTCTCCACAGTAATCTGTTCTAGTGTCCCTCTAATACCCTGAAACCTCTCTGTCAGATAGTCACCCATCTCTCTCAATGAAAAAAATTAACGAAGCATCGCTTGTGTGCTCTAAAACCTGCCGCAGGCATGTCTGTAGCTCCGTAATATGCTTTCTCAAACTAGGAAAAAGTATCCCCAACTGAAGAATACCCTACCCATACCCCCCAAAAAAACAAACAAACAAAAAAAAACAAAACATCCTGGAAAAATGCTAACAATTGACCTTCCTTTTTTGTGCTGATTACATAACTTTCAAATTGGTTTAAATATTTGTTTCCATTATTCTCCCATTAGCACTACCATGACTATATAGAATTTGTCAACATCATTGTTTGAGTTTTAAGATGGTGCTTATTTGCAAGGCTAGTATTACTTTATTGTATTGGTTCTTTTGTTTTCTTTTGTTTTTGTTTTTTCGAGACAGGATTTCTCTGTAGACCAGGCTGGCCTGGAACTCACAGAGATTCCCCTGCCTCTGCCTCCCAAGTGCTGGGATTAAAGGTGTGTGCCACCAACACCTTGCTTATTGTATTGGTTCTTAATTTTTACCAAAATATGTTTTTAAAATTATTGAATAAAACACAGATCTCACCTTTAACAAATTCAGTGTTTTCTCATACATTTGCCCTGAGTGTACAGAAGAAAGCTGCACCTTTTAAAAATGACCTCTCTTCGAAATGTCTAAGCATTTTCACTCAGACAGTGAGTGAGCTTCTAAACTCACTCACTGAGGGTGATTAGTCCTGCATACATCACAGGGGTTTCTAAGCAGAATGATCCTTACTTTCGTTCTTTCCTCAATATTTGCTCCATACTGTAGAAGCCTGGCAGCCATTGCTGGCTCCCCGCCATACACTGCATAGTGGAGAGCAGTGTTACCACTGTTGTCTTTAATATGCACGTTAGCATGACGCTCTAGCAGATAGCACACGATTTCCTCTTCCCAGCTCTGGACAGCCTGGAGGGATTGCAACAAGAAGTACATGGTCAACTCAAAGAATTTATGCTACACACTCATGGGTTTCATCAATTAATTATATTTACATGAGATAAATTCATTTTTACTTAAAAGTTTCTTGTGCTTAAAATGATGGTTACAGTCTACCTTCATCAGAGGTGTGATATTATGGTTGTCACACACATTAATCTCACACCCACGCCTCCAGAGGTAATTCACCATTTCTAGATGTCCATAGAAACAGGCAAAGTGCAAGGCATTCCTATAGAGAAATTACAGTGCATTGTGTCAATATACACAAATATTCATGTAATCAAAACTGTTAAATAGCATACTGTGCATGTGCCTTCTAAACAAATATGTAACATTCTTCTAAAGAAACTTCTTTTCCCTTGTAAAATTTCTTCACACACACACACCAATCTACTTCATTTGCAGTAAGCCTCATTTAAATTCTCAGAATACAGAACACAAATCCCTTGTCAGAATATAACACAAATGACTTCTATCCCAATTCATGACAGACCCTTTGTTTCCAAGTCTCCTTGGTCAGCCTTTTCCTGTCTCTTTTGCTTAGCATGCTGTCTTCTGGACTTGCAGTAGGATGGGCCACTAATCTCTGCTCACAACATTCTTCTGTAACACTCAGCTACAAACTTGTCCACATCCTACCACAAAGCAGGTCGTATGCCCTATAAACCATATCCTCATGGAGGCTTTCAAGAAACAGAGAAGGAACTGGAACCAATGACTGGCTATACCCTTAAAGTCTGACCACGAAAAATTTCTCTCTGTCTATAAGGTTCCATAACCTCCAAAATGGAGCTACCATTTAAGACAAAATGCTCTATTACCCTTTCTAGGCTTCATTTCTGTTATGATAAAATAGAATATTGTGATGCTTCATTGAAAATGTATATAAAGCTTTCTGGATGAAAGAAGGAGATAATTTCTACTTGACAGAAATAATCTTGGCGGAGAGAGAACATCAGCAACGCAGTGACCCACTGGCAGAGAGAGCTTCAGCAGCAAGGGGCCTGCCAGGATAGAGCATCAGTGGTCAAACAGCCTGGATGCACTGACAGCAGCTTCCAGAAACTATCAGAAAAAGTGCCTCTGGGCGCCAGGGGCAGGGCTTCCAGCACTTGGAAGGCAGAGGCAGGCAGATCTCTGTGAGTTCAAGGCCAGCCTGGTCTACAAAGCTACACAGAGAAGACCTGTCTCAAAAAACAACACCAAAAAGGGCATCTGGGAAAGAGCACATGTGTACCAGTCAGCATCCAGTGCCATTCTCTGAATGAGATACTCAGCTGATCATCTACCATTGGAGCCTCAGACCCACCTGCACATTAAGGAGCAGTCACCAGTGCTGTGACTCTGCCTGCGGCTGGAGGAGCAATCAACAGAGCCATAGCCCTCAACTGCACCAGTTGGAAGAAGAGAGACTCCCTGAAGCACAGTCTCCACCTATATGTGGTTGGAGGAAGCGATGGGTACAACAACATCAAGAGACACACAGCACCACCAGAAACTAGTAGTCCTAAAACAGTAAGACCTGAACATCCCAACGCCAGTAACGCAAGAAAACAACCGTAAAAATAACTTTATGAAGATGACTGACACACTTAAAGAGGAAATGAAAAATTCCCTTAAGAGAAATCGAGGGCTCTTTTTTTCATGGCACCTCCTAGGCGGTCATCTGTATGAAGATGAAGATGAATATCTCCTTCTCGGCCAATGGCTGCCAGAAAATCATTGATGTGGACAGTGAACACAAGCTTCGTATGTTCTATGAGAAGGGCACAGCCACAAAAGTAGCTGCTGATGCTCTGGGTGAAGAGTGGAAGGGTTATGTGGTCCAAATCAGTGGCAGAAATGACAAATATGGTTTTCCCATGGCTCAAGGTATTTTGAACCATGGTAGAGTGTGCCTGCTGTTGAGTAAGGGGCATTCTTGTTATAGAACAAGGAGAACTAGAGAGAGGAAGCACAACTGTTCAAGGATGCATCGTGGATGCTAATCTGAGTGTTCTCAACTTGGTTATTGTAAAAAAAAATGAGAGAAGGATATTCCTGGCCTGACAGATACTACTGTTCCTCATCGGTTGGGACCTAAAAGAGCTAGCAGAATCCAAAAGCTTTTTATTCCCCCTAAAGAAGATAATGTCTGCCAATATGTTGTGAGAAAGCCTTTAAACAAAGAAGGAAAGAAGCCCAGGACCAAAGCACCCAAGATTCAGTGTCTTGTTACTCCATGTGTGAAGAAACAAGAACAAAGGAAAACAAGGAGGAGGCTGCAGAGTATGCTAAACTTTTGGCCAAAATAATGAAGGAAGCCATAGAAAACACCAGGAACAGATTGCAAAGAGACAGATGCTGTCCTCACTGAGAGCTTCTGTTTCTAAGTCTGAGGCCAGTCAAAAATAAAATTTGTTATTCTTTAAGAATAACAAATAAATAATCACACATTGAAAAAAAGAACCCGAGGAAAAGACAAACAAAAAATTAGAAGAAATCAAAAAGTCCCTTAAAGAAAAAGCAATCAAACAGGTGAAGGAAACAGTTCAAGACTTAAAAAATGAAATAGAGGCAATAAAGAAAACACAAATGAAGGGAACTCTGGAAATGGAAAATCTGAGTAAACAATCAGGAACTATAGATGCAAGTATAAACAGCAGAATATAAGAGATGGAAGAAAGAATCTTAAGCATTGAAGATATGATACAGGAAATAGATGCATCAGTAAAAGAAAATGTTAATTCCAACAAAATATCCAAGAAATCTGGGACACCATGAAAAGACTGAACCTAAGAATAATAGTGATAGAAGAAGCAGAAGAATACCAATTCAAAGGCACAAAAATATATTCAACAAAATCATAGAAGAAAAGATTCCAAACCTAAAGGAGGACATGCCCATGAATGTACTAAATAGACTTAACCAAAACAAAAGAGAGAGAGAGACTCCTCGTCACGTAATAATCAAAACACTAAACATACAGAATAATGTAAGAAAGTAAGCATATTAAGAGATGCAAAGAAAAAAGGCCAGGTAACAAATAAAGGCAGACATAGCAGAATTACACCCAACTTCTCAATGGAAACAATGACAGCCAGAAATTCTGAGCAGGAGGTATGCAGACCATGGATTCAAGCCCAGACTACAATACCCAGAAAAGATTTCAATCACCATAGATAGAGAAAACAAGATATTCCATGACAAAACCAGATTTAAACAAAATAATTTCACAAATCCAGCAATAAAGAAAGTGCTAGAAGGAAAACTCCAACTCAACGAATTTAGTTACACTCACAAAAACACACGCAATAAATAATACAACACTAGCAAATCCCAAAGAAGGGAAATGCACACACAATACCACCACCACCAACAACAACAAAAACTAGAATCAACAATCAATGCTCATGCTGGGTGGTGGTGGTGCATGCTTTTAATCCCAGCATTCAGGAGGCAGAGGAAGGCAGATTTCTGTGAGTTTGAGACCAGCCTGGTTCCAGGACAGCCTCCAAAGCCACAGGGAAACCCTGTCTCAAAAAAACAAAACCCAAAAAACAAAAAACAATCAATGGTCATTAATATCCCTTAATGTCAATGGACTTAATTAATCTATAAAAATGACCCAAGCTAATATAATGGATCCAAAGACAGAATCCATCCTTCTGCTGCATACAAGAAACACACCTCAACTTCAAAGACAGATGTTACGTCAGAGTAAAGGATTTGGAAAAGATTTTCCAATCAAACAAACCTAAGAAATGAACTGGTAGAGGTATCATTTTTTTAAAAATCTTTTTTTATTTGTTATGTGTACAGTGTTCTGTATGCATGTATCCCTACAGGCCAGAAGAGGGCACAAAATCTCATTACAGATGGTTGTAAGCCATCATGTGGTTGCTGGGAATTGAACTCAGAACCTCTGGAAGACCAACTAGTGTTCTTAGCCACAGAGCCATCTCTCCAGCCCAATAGTTATCCTAATATCTAAGAAAATAGATTTCAAACTAAAAATAGTCAAAAGATAAAGAAGAGTATTTCATATTCATCACAGGAAATATCCATCAAGATGAAGTCTCAATTATGAACATTTATTCATCAAACACAAGGGCACCCAAATTTGTAAAAGAAACATTACTAAAGCTTAAATCACACATCAAGGTCCAAACACGAATAGTGAGAGACTTCAACACACCACTCTCACCACTGGACAGGTCTACCAGACAGAAACTTAATAGAGAAATAAAGGAACTAACAGAAGTTGTGACTCAAATGGGCATAACAGACATCTATAAAACATTTCACCCAAACACAAAAGAATATACCTTCTTCTCAGCACCTCATCAAACCTTCTCTAAAATTAACCACAAATTTCAACAAAGCAAACCTCAACATGTACAACAACAACAACAACAAAAAGGAATAAACCCCTGCATCTTATCGGATCACATGACTTAAAGTTAGAATGAACAACACTAACTACACATAGCCCACAAACTCATGAAAATTGAACAATGCTCAGATGAATCACCCCTAGGTCAAGGAAGAAATTAAAGACTTCCTAAAAGTCAGTGAAAATAACCACACAGCATACTCAATCTTATTGGACACAATGAAAGCAGTGCTAAGAGGAAATTTCATAGTACTAAATGCCTATACAAAAAAGCTAGAGAAATCCCACACAATCAAATTAACAGAATAACTGAAAGCTCTAGAACAAAAAGAAGTAAGCTCACCCAGGAGGAGTAGAAGATGGAAAATAATCAAATTGAGAGCTGAATTAAACAAAATGGAAACAAAGAAAACAATAAAAAGAATCAATGTAAGGAAGAGTTGGTTCTTCCAAAAAATCAACAAGATAGACAAACCTTTATCCAAGTGAACCAAAAGGCAGAGAGAGAATATACAAACTAACAAAATCAGAAATGAAAAGGGGGACATAACAACAGACACTGAGGAAATCCAGAGAATCATCAGTTCATACTTCAAAGACCTGTATTCTGCAAAATTGGAAAATTCAAAGGAAATGGACAACTGTCTGGCTAAGCACCACATAACAAAATTAAATCAAGACCAGATAAACAAATTAAATAGACCTATAAACCCTAAGTAAACAGAAACAGTCATCAAAAGTCTCCCAACCAAAAAAAGCCCAGGGCCAGATGGTTTCAGTGCAGAATTCTACCAGAATTTCAAAGAACAGCTAATAACAATACTCCTCTAATTGTTCCATATAATAGAAACATA